CAACTGACGATGATCTTTTTTGCAGCAGCCAGCCACAATACAAATGATTATGTTTATACTATTAAAGTAATTTACTAAAAATGACGCCCAGCCAAAACGAGATGATCCTCAAGAGCAACTGCTGCTGCTGCTGCTGCGGCTGCTGCTGAACGATCTTTGAGCTGGCATCGCGATCGGCTGACGATCATCATTGCGATCTCGTCAAAGTCAACCGCTTTAGCTGCGGGTTAAGCAGCCTGCTGTCTACTTAAGCGTAATCGGAGTATGGCACAGCGATCGATCGCCAAGGCTTTATCACAACATTTTTGCCATAAAGATGGATTAGTGTGGTCAAGTGCACAGCCAGCGCAGCGGATCGATCGAAGAGTCGAACCAGTTAGCTTGGTAGCCAAGGTGCGAGATCTGTAAATAATGTGGCAAGCCTGGGCTTGCCCCCAGCCCCACAGCTGGGGCCATGTGTGCCGCTTCGCTGATCTCTGGATAGATCGTTAATCGAAATCGCACTTTGGCTTCTCAGCGGCCCCGCAGTTCGTACAGCTCTATTAACCCCCGTCGCTGATGATTTGGTGATAACGATCGTAATCGTAGCGGTACTCTAGGTGCAACACATGTTGCACTTAGCCTCTGCCTCTGCCTCTGCCTCTGCCCACTCGTCTGCTCGCCACTTACGTTATGTTCTAGTATATTATTTTGTCTAATTTAGAAAATAGTTTTCTCTACCCGAAATGAGTATGATTCTTAGTCTAAGCCGCATTTATCGTACGCTCGCCTCGTTAGACACAAAATTGCAGTCGCTGCGCTAACATGTGTTTTTTGGCCTCTATATGGTTATGTTGGGTTTTCGTATTAGCACTTAAAGGTTGCTTGCTTGCATTTCCGCATAGCTGAGGAGGGCTTTGAACTGGTGTGAGTTAAGTTAAGTCATTTAACCTTCGCATTACAAATAATACCAATTTAATCAAAGATCTGGCAATGCGTAAGCCTAACTGAAGCTGATTTCTTTTGAAACATTTCCTAATGCATTTTGTATTATTTGAAACAACAAAAGGTTTGCAAGTAGTCAGCCGCTGTGAATATCTTGAGCATTCCTTTCTGCTGGAAAGCAAAACAAAATGAAAGGCTGTTGGCTGTTGGCTGTTAAATGCACCTATGCAGGACAGCCATAGACAAAACAGACAAATATATAAAAATATTTATTAAATCCATACTCATAAATATGCATGGGCCCTCAAGTCAATGGGTAGGTGGGGCCCACTTCTAATTACGCCCAGTTGGGGGTTTGCCATGAGCACCAACAAAATGAAATCAAATAAAACTGAATGCAAAGACTTACAAGTCAACCGAATTGTGTTCGGCTCGTATACCGAAAATTAAGTGGCATAAATATGCATGAGCAAACCCTGAAAATAAAAATACGAAAAAAATGGGAGAAAGGAATTTCTGTAGCTAACCCCCTCGCAGAGAAAGTTGTTTGCTTAGTTGCCGTGTGTTAGCAAAAATAAAAAATAAATACGAAAGCTATTTAATCGCACGAATGAACGAATGAAACTTCTCGCATAACCGGAAAAGGTTTACAATTAAACGGAATACATATATAAATGTTGTCTGCCCTGCGTATCACTTACCTTTGGATGGCATTTTCGTGTTTTTTTTTTTTTTTTGGCTTTGCGGTTCATTGATTAAAATCAAACTGTTTATTAGCGCCACCCCCGGAAAGAGTTACCGAAAACAGCCCCTACAAGAGCTACCAGAACGACCCAGCCGAACGTCTGCGTGTGTTTGTTTAATTGAGTTTTTCGATTTCTTTCGTTTTTATTATTTATACATATATATTTTTTTTTTGGGTAATATTTGCATTGTTGGTTTGTCATTCTCATTAGTGCATAAATGTGTGCATGTCTGAAGGGCGGGCTGATATCAATCGTCATATATCGTATACACTCGCTCATCCATCAATTCATTTATGTGTACCTCCATCTGTCGAAGCATTTATCGTTGCGGCAGAGTTGTTTTGTTTGCCAGCCGCGAAATGATTTTAATTTTAGATTAGTTCTCAAAATAATATTCAAATGGAAATAAAATCCAGGTAGAACAGCTTGCTTACCTCCCTTCCACCCACATATTTGGCATTTGCCATCACACATATCATCGTCAAAGTCTGTCGTATTGACGGGCATGTCAACATAAGGCTCATAAGGTCTGCATGCGGTTTATTATTTGGCTCTTGCATGGCTCTGGTTACTTAATTTAAAGGACACCCAACGATTATTGGTTTGAAATTGCTTAGAACACGCGAATTTTGTTCGCTCGGCATTTCTCAGCAGGCACTTTTTATAGGGTCCCATTTGATTTGTATACGCTCCAGTAAATAGGTAGGCGTTGATCCGGTGAAACGTTTTGCATTTTGTTTGTCGATTAAATCGGTTGGTTTCTCAAAATATATGATTTATATTTGCATGTAGTGTGACAAAGAAAGCATGGAATAAATGACGCAGAAAAGTTTAAGTGTAGCTTATGAAAATTCTATCCAAGCTATGCGAGTTATAAACTTAACAGGATCATTTAAAAGGAGCTTTACAAGTCACTTTGCCAAAACTGTTTTTATGCCAGTAGCTGACTAATTTTGTTGCCTTCCCTTTCTAAAAAAAAAAACATCTTTAAGCAGTTGACCTTTCAACGACAACAAGCCGCACTGCCTGAAGCCAACTTCATCGTTCGTCAAGTTGCCAGCTAGCTGTAAGTAGCGGTGTTCATATGTCCGCTCTTAACAAGCCTTTCAATATAATTCAATATCGTTCAAAAACCAAGTCCATTAATCTCTCAGCTCGCTGGCCAGGCCCCCGCAGCCCACAAGGAAGTCAAATCAGAGTTTCTCAACCGCTGCGCGGGTTGGTCACATGCAATTTGTGCTACTTGTTGCTGCGGCTGCTGTTGCTGTTGCTGGCTTGGTGGCAACCTTTCACAAAGCAGCCACAAAGCAACACCTTTGCTGACCAACAACAACAACAGCAACAACAACAACGACAACAATTCGGTATCTTTTTACCTTTTATGATGCGATTTGCATAGCGTTTAGGTTGCCGCATCGCAACGCTTCACGTCGCATATTAATATTTTAGTCGCCATCCTTTTATGCCTTGTTCGGTTTCACATCTCTTGAGCTGTTAGCCCGGTCTGGAGTCTCAGTCGTTGGTAGCCCCCGGTAGCCGCACACCAGTCAAATTCAAGTTCGGTTTCTCACGTGACACGAAAATCTTTTTTGTGTGTTTGCAACAAGTTTTTTTTAACAAATTCTCAGCTGATAAATGATATCGCATACAGTTCTTGACTCGATATGCATAGAGTCGCTCTCTCCGGTCATTAATAATTGTTGTACAAAGGAGGTTTTTTTTATTGCGTCTTTGTGTGGACCACGATGAGGCCGGGATAAGCTGAGCTATGCTAAGACTTTATACGATATGTGCGTATCGTGAATACTTTAATACTTACATTTAGAGTAATAAAAGGAATTTGAAATTTAACAAACAAGATCTCTATAATATTACTTTCAACATTTTCTAGAAAAATAAATCAAAATTATATTTATATTAATATATATAAATATTTTTTTTTATTTATTTTTATATTTTAGCTATTATTTTTTCAAATTAAGGTTACCTATGTTTAACTTAAGGCGCTCATATACCAAGATTCGATCCACACACGATAAGCCACAGGCCTCACAACTAAGAGCTGCCACTTGACACACCATACACATACACACACACACACACACACACACACACACACACACACACTCACTCACCCGCACACATTGGCAACTGCGATAAGCGATCTCCGCAGCCCCACAAGTTGCCACTTGAAAGTGATGATGGATTATTAGTACGTGTTGCCAGCCCATGTTCGAGGATGTGCAAGGGACAAAAAGTGAGGCGGGGCAGGCAACTGATTTACCTAAAACACACGAGACTCATTAATCCTGTGTGGCAAACGGAGGCAGGACCTTTAGCTGTTTTGCCACGACTCATTTGTGCTAAAAACTTTTGCGGCTTGATAAATTGCCCCAGCAACAAACACACACACACAAACACATACAGTACCCACTTCGCTAACCGCCTCTATCTGCCACTTGCTGCGGGCAAAATAACAGCATACCATGCCCAGACAAACATGTGAGGTGATGTGAAGCCTGCTGTCGGCTAGAGTTTGCGTTTTGGTTTTGCTATTTCATTTTTTGTATTCACTTGGTTAGAGTATTGTGAAAATTTAATGAAACCAAATCAAATCGATTAAGTTAAATTTATTTATTTCGTCTAGTCGTGCATCCTGGATCGAATCACTATATCTAACAGTATACCTAAGAACAATTGAATGAATGTTGAGCCGCAGGAATTACGAGCTTCTCCATGCTAACAGCTATTAGCCAAATCCTGGCAAGATCAGGCTGCCGTACGATATGGCTTCTATAGAGATATATTGCACATGGTGTACATTTCTGAAAGGGTATTCAATTCTCGTTACTTTGGAGACGGGTTATTTTGTGTTTTTTATTTATGTCTCAACTTTTGCGATAGGTAAGCACTTAACACGTTTCTGCCAGTGATTTAAATGCTTCCCAGTCCTTCTGCGCCCCCTTTCTACCGCGTTTTCTCTCTATTTGTCAGTCATTCAATCAACCAAGAGTAGCAGAGAGAGTTGGAGAGAAGCTGCGAGTCTGGCAAAGGTTTTGTTCCGCATTTTGATATGCAAATACTTTGCGTGGAGTTTTTAATGCCTTGTGCTTTGCACTGTGACGTCCTGTTTGTCGCACTGTCACGTTATTTTGAAATTTATTTCGTTTGTTTTGAGCGATTGTCACGTTTTTGTGATTTCGATTATTTAATGCGAGCTGGTGGGAAACAGTGATAAAGCTTTAAATAAGGAAAGTTGTCGATATGCTTCTTAAATCTTAAATAAATTTAGAATTAGAATAAAATAAGAACAAATTTAATATGTTCTCGAGTAAATAATATAATCCAACCAGACATGCTAACATGGTTCAACTAAAACTAAATGCAATTTATTTAGTCGGATTCAGATTCAGTACCAGTGCTGTACTCCTCCTGCTCATGCTGAGATTCCTGTTCTTCATCCTCGCTCTCATCGGTTTCGTAAGTATCCGAATCGGCCGAGTACATTGAACCATTGTGTGAGGATGGAGCCGAGGTCTCAGCCGATGAGCCTGCAGAGTGCTCATCCTCCCCATCATCCCCATCCTCCTCATTCTCCACCCCATCGCTGTCATGTTCGTAGCATAACTTCGCCTCGTCGCTGTCTGTCTCGATTTGCTCGCCATACTCCTCCTGACTATTCATCGAGCTATTAGACTCATCCTCCTCAGCACTCTGATAGGCATTCGTCTAAATATATTATTTTTAGGGTGAGTGTCAGACTCACCAGTGCACACATTTGATCTCTGTTCTTCAGATCGTAGATTTCCTTGATCAGCGCATTGCGCTCCATCGCGTGATATTCGCGCTGTAGGTTGCACTCATTTTTGAGTTCCTGATTGCGTTTGCGCAGCTGCAACACTTCAGCTAGCATCTTATGCTGCTTATTCATAATGGTGGTCATTAGATGCTCCAGATTCTGAATGGTCACCTCATGCTCCTCCAGCTTCTTTTTTAGCAGCCAGTTTTCGGAGCGGCAATCGGCCAGCTCCGAGACGCAGACAGCTATCTTGGTATCATCTGTGACAGGCTCCATGGAGCTGAAGGATCTCATTCAGCTATTAGACCTGGCCGAGTATCTTTCTTAGACTTACGCATCGCAGGGTCCTTCTTGCCCTATGGCAGCCGCAGAAATGTCATTCGCGTTGGACAGTGGAAATGCAATGGGTTGACCGCCGCCATTTGTCGAGGATGAAGAACTAATTATGTACTGGCAAATGCACGACATTCTTAAGGATTTTTATTCCAGAGCTTATATCAAGTAATAAGCACAGCAACATTGCTTTACTGAGGTAACGTGACGCAGCTCGTAATCAAACTCAGTTAGATGCTTCGATTGTTTTCACAATGCCAACAAGATGCAACCATAAGAAGCAACTCCCTGGAAAGCAGCTCCATATCGTTGTAACTGCATTTTTGCCGGCCATCCGAGCTCGAGTCCCATTCCGAACCCATGCCGGCTCCAATGTGCCCCATGAACACTTTACGACTTGACATTTTCACACTTTGTTGGCAACGTTCTGCTGTGGCAGAGCCAAGCCCTGCGGTGCTCTCGCCTGGCGCGACTTCGGGCCAAGTCAAGCGACCTCTCGGATTGTCCTTGTTGTTGGCGTCAATGCCAATGCAGAAGCCTCCTGCATGTCCCACTCTGTCTAGCTCTCAGTTTTTGGGATGTGCAAATGTGTCTGTGTAGGACTGGAGGTTTTTTGTGTGCGTCAGTGGATTGAAGTGCAAAATTGGTTTAAGTGTTTGCTAAATTGGCAGCAAAATGGCTTTTTCAATTTTATACTTAACGTTTATATTCGAAGTGACGCCCCCCAAACGACCAGAATCCCAGACATGCAGCCCACAACTTGCACCATAAAAACTAACAATTTTTATACTCTTGCACAAGTGGGTAAAATAAAAGGGTATATTGAAGTTGTGCAAAGGATGCAATGGCAAAGGCAACTTAGTCAGATACAAACATGTCTCGAATTTATTTGTTTATTTTATTTTTATGGTGAGAGAAATAGAAATAGAAGTAAATACGAGTGTAAGTTACGGCAGCTCGAGTCGGGTATAGGGTATCTACCAGTCGGGCATTTGCGACAAAAGCACTTTTACTTGTTTATTTAACTATTTTTGGCAACAAGTGGCGCCTGCAGCGCAATTGATATACATTCTCTGTTCATGTTTTTATTTTTCAACTTTACAGTTTGTTGACTTTGGCCTCGTCAATATTTTAGCTCGTCTCCAAAAGCTGTGCTCCTGCTACTTGTAATTACAAAACCATAAATAAATGCGATTCCAGCGTAGAACTTGACCGCTGGCCGCGCCCATTGCGCATTTCACACGCTCATGTCGGACACTAAACGGGGCAACAAACAACGAAATGTGGCCTGAACTGGGCTCAGTTTCTCGACTTGGTTAGACCAGCTCACACATATCATTTATAGCCGCGATAATCATGGCTTACACCCATGCATCCGCTTTTAGACACACATATATTTTATGGCCCCCACTCTCGCATTGAGGTCTATGCAAGGACTGGGGACTGAGTCTTGGCCATGGCCAGGGCGAAAACTTTAATCGTGATGCCTAAACAACGCCAAATTACACACCAGAGGGCGCTACGCAGTGCATGTTAACATAAATTTGTTGCGCCTCTTCTGTGCGGACTGCCCCCCAACAACACGAATGTAGAAGAAGAGATTACCAGGAGGTTACAGGGGCAGAGGGGGCTCTGTAGTGGCATGGGGCAACCTATAAACGTTCAACTTTAAACTAGAGGCAACACATGCAAGCGCACATTTAAAAAGGCATAAGTCATACATGGCTAATAAATTGATTTACCAAAGTGGATTAGAGGTCATTGCTATGCCACAAGCAGGGTGCTCCTCTAAGTGCCCTGCTCCTAAAATCGAGCTAGTTACTAAGATTGAATTCTAATAGGGATTAAAGTTTATTTCTTCGAGAAATACTATTATATATAAAGATTCTAAGAAACTATCCCATATACAGGGTGTTTAGCTTATATGCATATCTTTAGTTCTTATATGTATTGGTTGTTTTAGAAAACTTCACTATATGCTTTTAAGGTTGGTAAAACGATGTTAAAAAGATCGGGGCTATCACTTTTTGTTCTATTCGCGAACTTAGGCATATTTAAAAGAAAAGGGTTGGCTGGATCTTCCTATATACACTTTGGACTTAGCTAATTTACTTTCAACCCCCTTCCTATTCTACTTCTTAACACATACAAAAAGAACATCCTGTATTATGCGATTGCTTGCCACAACTCAAACTCAACTATTTTTGGTATAACTATGTGTGCATTTGAAAGAAAAATTTTAGCACACAGAAACCTGAGATACCAAACCCCACCACAAACCCGCAAAGAAGGAGCGGGTGAGAAATAGAGGGAGGGATGGAGAGTGAGAGAGAGCGAATGAGTGGAAACGCTTAAAATGCCAGTTTGAAGTCTATTATTTGCTGGACACGAGCATATATTGATTGCATCGCCAATCGCAGAGGTAACAGCAGATGGGCCAGGAGGCCGCTGGGGAGGATATGCTGGGGAGTAAAGCAAATTGCTTCAGCAAATACAACAAAATACTCTCAAAATGGGCAAAGCGGCACTTGGATGCGAGCTGGAGCCGAGCAAATCACATGGTAATGGATGCACACTATGAAACAGAAACCGCAAGCGGGCAACTTGAAGTCGGGAGTTGGAAGTTTGATAGTTGGAATAACAGAAACTTGTTTTTTGACTGGGTTGGCGGCTTCGTGTAGCTCAGCATTTAGCGTCTTGATCGGTTTATCACCGATTAATTAGAGTTTGATAAATACGCGCACGCCGTGAGTAAATAAATCATGACAGCCAAGCAGCAGGCAGGCAGCCAGCCAGCCAGCCAGGCCGGCCGGCGGGCAGGCGAGAGGCTTACAAGTTCCAGCTTCAGTTAGAGCCGGCGACCTCCACATGCGAAGAAAGTGTGGCTGTCTGTCATTAGGGGGCAGTCCTTGGGATGCCGCTAACTCAACTCGTTGGCATATGCCACAAAAAAGAACAGAAAATAAATCAAAAAATTCACAGTCAAATATAAAGGTAAACATTTTTGCACTTTTGCGCGCTTTTGCATTTTATTTTTGATTGTTTCGGCTGTCGCTGCTTTTGACATTCGCACAAAAAGCATTTAGCTGGGAGTAAGGGCAGCCAGACCAGGGTTGGGCGCAATATCTTTGAACATTTGCTCTGTGTGAGCATTAATTATGAACAAAAAAGTCCTTTGAGATGCGTCAGACGAAGCAAATGTTGATGAGACCCGAGTTCCGAGATGAGGTTTAGCTGCGGATAGCTGTAGCTAATTTTGGCTGTGCTTTCATCGGGTTTGGGGGTCAAAAGTGCTTTGAATTAATGCGCCTGCTGCATATGAAAGCAAATGCAATTTTTGTTGTTCAATTTTGTACACTTGAGTTTTGTTCATTTTTATTTTTGGTAAAAATTTTCTAAAGAATTTGGGGTTTGCGTGAATTACAGGAAATCATTGGGGAGTTGGAATAAGCTTCTGCTTGTAAATTTAAGAACTTCGTTCTAATATTAAAAGCTCTATAGATAATTATCACTTTAATGGCTCAGGATTTTCCGATTCTTTAACTTTTCGAAATCTTTCTCTGGGTTTTCTGGTTAGTGAAACTTGAACTTTAAGATTTGCATAACTATATGATCTCATAGTTTGATTTTCTTTTGCTTTCCACAAACATGCACTTTGTTATTTGAGCTATTGAAAAATATTTCATTTAATTTGATGCTGGGCTGCTCTTTTAATTTGCCCTTTTGCATAGCCGCATTTACGAGTTTACGAGCTCAAATGAAATGTCTTTGGTTTATTACCGCAAGAGCAGAAGCTGAGAAGCAGCTACAAAAGTTAGGAGGAGGTTATTATTATTACTTTTCACTGGTAGCTGCTAGTAGTTATAATAGTAGTAGTTGTTGTTGTTGCTGGTGTTGTTGTGGACTCTATGGCACTATGATTGCTACCTTTGCTGCATTGCATTTGGCGTCTTTTATTCTTGCCCATAGCACTGGCAAAAATGTTGACCACTTTCTGCTTGGCAGCGTTCTACCTAACCACCCCAACACAGCCCAGCTACTCCAGCACCGCTCGCTGCGCTCCACTCGGCTCCACTTTAGCTCAGTTGTTGACCATTTTGCCTGGCTCTTGGAATCCTGCGAGCACTGCTTGCTGCCCTTATTGTGTCGCACTAAAATTGTGCTCAAGATATCTTCGCCTTCGGTTTGAATGGAACTGCTGCTTGGGCGTTGCTGGGGCCCAAAGTATTTGCGGTTTTTCACATCCTTTTGCACAATTATCCAGATTTCAATATTACTGCGTCATAAACAAAAACCCGAGTACGACATTGCTTGAGGTTCCATCCAAGGGATGGGCACTTGGGATGCCTGCACTATGAGTATTGTGCACAATGCTTTTATTATTTCTATTATTGTTGACTCAGGAATTTTAAGTTAGAGCCTCCACTTTAGGGGTTGTGGACTGCTGGCTTGACGGGTTCTATGCATGCCTGCAACTGGGGTTCGTTTGTTTATGCAATTGAGCAGCTCGTTATACAGCTAGCCACAGGCACAGTAAATCAAGTAAAAGGAAATTATATTTCGTTTCTATTTGGTTTTGAAAAACAAAGAATTACTCTAGATCGTTTTGCTTATGTGTCTAATAATTCACTTGACCCGATTTAATCAAGCCCATTAAATACATGCCCGAATCATGCGCTTAAGTACTCAAACAGCCAACACACCCATCCACCCACGTTTAGCTTAATTTTCCCGCATGCAAATTTTTCCCAAATTAGCTTAATTTGCGACAAGAGCCGCCCTCAAGTCATATGGAAATGCCGCTCGGGCACTTTCTTTCACTCTAGCTGGCAGTTTTCCAAGTAATCAAATCATTACGACTGTCACACACCCATCCACAATCAAACACTCACACCCAGGCCCTCCTCAACTTCTACTCACACTTCTTTCATGCCACACGCGTTGACATTTATCAAAAATTTCAACTGTCATTTACTGCATTCACCGTCTGGCTGTTTAAATTCTTGTACTTGGCCGCAAAACAACACGCAATTGAACATTCATAAGCCTCAACTCCAACACCCGCCAGAAGGTACAAATAAAAAGGAAAAACCTAATAACCCAAAATTCGCAAAATTGGCAACGTTGCGAGGGGGCGGGGCTGGTTTCCCAACCCTCGACAGACAAATGCCACTTGCCACTTGCCATTTGCCAATTTTCCGATGC